AAAAAAAAAAATAACTTAAGAGCAAAGGCCCAGCTACTGATGAATGCATACTAATATCACTCATAACAGTACTTTTTATCATTCCCCCAATTGTATTATACAAGATAATGCCTTCCTCACCATAGTGCCAGAAGTAACCTGAAGGTGCCAGAGGAAGGAGGTCACCAAAAGGCAAACTGATGGAGGTGTGTCGGGGAGACTAGGAACCCATTGAAAGCGGCCCAAGTTGGAACAATCTGAACAACAATCACCTGGTCCTGGAATGTAAAACATGGAGTATAAAACAGCCACAAGTCCATACTGACACAAGCACGTGCAGCTGAACAGGCAAATCTCCCACACAGACGAAGTGCAAATCATTCGCGTAAATACTCCGGCCTCCAGGAGGCCACGGAGTGACCTCCCACAGGGAGGAGGAGGGGGGTAGCGAGGGTCCCCGCCTCAGCTGGGCGCTCCAGTTCCCATCAACAATCACGCTGCTCTCGCAACCACGTGATGGGGAGCTCCCGAGCTCTTCGCGGGCTTTCCCTCCCCAAACCGGAACAGTCCAGCCATGAACACTTGACAAAGTACCTGCCCATCTCAAAACTGTCACGCTCATCAGAAAACAAGGTAAGAAACTTACAGTTTAGAAGAACGGAAGAACTCCTAATGTTTGGGTGTACTATAGCCTAGACAGGGTCCTGAAACATGAAAGGACATTAAGTGAAAATTAAAGATGAGGAATGGACCATGATAATACACGACGTTAGCACCAAAGGAAATACAAGAACTCTGCTCACTTTGCAGCTTTTTAAAAATGTAAACCCATTCTACATTGTTTAAAAACTTTTAAAGTCTATTCATTTGGGTCAGGCTTTGGCCCAAACCTACTATTTTCTCAGGGAAGGAAGAGTATTACGTATATTCATGATTCATTGAAATTTTCTTTTATCTTGGTTATGCTACAAATTCAGTTTTCTAAAAAAGGGTAACATAACTTACTAGAGCAATTTTGCGTCCTTTCCTGAATCAGTCTGGACACAATTAGAGTGTGTAAATGTACTGTGAGATCGAAGGACACATCTCTTCTGTTTGACCTGATTACGTTATTTTGATTGAGACACTGTATGATTTCGGGGTACAAGTTCCCAACTCTTCAGAAGAGATGGACTTGCTCAGGCGTTACGGCTGTAGGGACTCACACCTCTCCAAAGGAAGGCCACCGCCGCGCTGTCACCCCACCATGGGCATCACCAGAGCACCAGTAGAAGGCGCCTCTTCTAACATCACTTAGATCTAAGTTTTTTTCCTTGTAGCTGAACACATTAAGCCAATCATCTCCATTAGCAAAATTTGTAAATTAATATAAATATTTTGGTAAATAAGTATTATGGCAAATGAATGGCAAATGCATTTTTTAAAAAAGATTTATTTTTGCATACAGAACTGGGGTACAGGCCAGAGGTACAGGGGCAGTGAGCGGCTTCACAAGAGACAGTGGGGAGCAGAGCAGGCAGATTGAGGAGGTCACTGCTGAGGGGAGCAGCGGGTGGGTCAGGAGAGGTCTGTCGCACCGTGTGGGTCACCTCCTTGGTTGGGGATCGAACTTATGCTGCAGTGGCTGTGGCTTCGTAGTGCCGTGCTTTAACCTGCTGCGCCACCAGGGAGGGCCGCCAAGTACATTTCTTAATGAGTCCATTTTACGTACTCCTGGGTCTGTGCCCTGGTACTCGTCAACAGTAATATGACAGCACCCAGACAGCCTCTATGCTGCCTGCTTGGGACTGTCCCCCCCACCCCCCAGTGTACCTTTTCCTTGTCCCTTTGTCCCCATGCTGTAGTCTCCTCTTGTCAAACTCTTCACTTACCCAGCACCTCGCTTACCCTCAAGATTCACAGCATGTTATCTCCCAGGTCTCTCTTCCTATGCCAACATGAAATCAGGCTCTTGTTTAAGGAGCTTAAAAACTAAGGCCCCACTCCTTGCGCAACAGGTATGAGGCTGGAACCGGTAAGAGAGGCCTTACGTTTGCCACTGGAACAGGGTGTAAGACCCACCATTCTGGCCAGAAAAACCAGTCCAGGTCCAAGAATGCAGAAGCAGGACCACGAAGGAGTCTGTGTCAAAGGCCTTCACCCAAGACTGCATGTCTAGCAGCTCTCGCTGCAAACTGGGGACGTAAGTAAGAAAGCCCTGAAACAGTGTAAAGAGCCGCAGGCCTTATTTTCGAGGAGAGGCATAGCTCCTGTCTTGCCCTCTGCTCCCTTGCAGAGTATTTTTATAAATCTGCCTTCTCTGTACTCCTCTCAGTCTCTGGCAAATACTTTCACCCCCGTGTCTCCAGCTTACACTGATTTCCCCTAATAGCTTTGTCACACATAAAATTATCAGTTGGTTCTCTCATCTTTATGCTCCTTGAGCTAGTAAATTTCTTGGAGGAAGGTAACTTTGAAATTAATCTATATTTCTTAGTGCCCAACAAAGATCCTGAAACACACTAAGATCCCAGAAATTAATGATTAATTGAATGAGTAAGTCAATGTCGGTGGTAAAAATGTGAGTTTTTAAAGGTGTCAATAAAATAGTAATACTTATATTAAAAGAGAGTAAGATAAAGAGTGATTAGGGAGATTAAGAAGCACTTAACATATTGACAGGTTTGTGGGCCAAAATATTCTGCAGCAGATCACTGACCTGAGTCAATATGTCTTCTCTAATGAAATAACCAAGATGTGTCAAAACAAACATATATTTATAGATAACGTGTTTATTTATTTATATATATATATCCTATCAGTAACTTAATTCCTCTATCAAACTCAGCATTTAAAAAGTCAGTATCTAACACAGGAAAGCTATTGGGATAAATGTCTTCCTTGAGTGTAACTGCCACCTCCATCCTCACAGCCTTTCCTCTGTGCTTTCTTAAATGACTCCCCTTCTTTGAATTACCCACTACCTCTTCTGTTTGAAGCTATCTACCTGTCTTTCAGCCACCCCACCCCCTTTTATTCAATGAAGGTTTTAGCACCAAACTGTGTCTCTAATAAGCTGCAGCTGATTTTGTCTTCTCTGTAGGTAATACTTTCCTAAAT